AATTCACGAGAATGATATTCGGGATTTCATGAATGGGACCATGGAGCTTGCGCAACGTGGTGAAATTTGGGTATTATTTGATGAGATAAACACATGTGACCATCTCGGGATGCTTGGACATTTGATTGCGCACCGGATTTTTAATGGTAAACTGATTCATCCAAACATTCGAATATTCGCTGCTTACAATCCATACCGATTGCGGACCAAGGCTCAAAATGGTGTAGGGCGTTTGGCGACACTATACGAAGAAAAAGGCAAGTTGGCTTACCGGGTACACCCAATGACTGCTCAAATACTAGATTACGTTTGGGATTATGGCTGCCTTAAATCCGAGGACGAGCAGAATTATATTGATATAATGGTGAAAACTCAGTTGGGTCACCCATATTTTGCAGAGCTGTTATGCGCATCTCAAGAATTTATTCGTAAGGTCGATGAGCCATTTAGCGTAAGCTTACGAGATGTAAAACGTGCCATCAAACTTTTCAAATTTTTCAGCGACAGCTCTAAAAATATGGAAGAGTCAAAAAGTGAAAATTTTTCTCATGAAATTCGTCCTTTGGTGTTAGCCCTGGGAATGTGCTATCTTTTTAGGCTCCACGATCAATCGTTACGTAAAAACTACCGGGATGAAATGATTGAAATCATAAAAAAATATCAAACCAACTTTTGCACACCTCGAGACTGCTCATTTGATGCATTTGAAATTATAATTCGAAACGAACAGGACGATTACGTAAACCGGATGAAATGTTATCCCGATGGAACCGCTTGGAATGAAGCGCTCTTAGAGAATATCCTTGTGATGATTGTGTGTATTCAAACCCGGATTCCTGTTTTCATAATTGGCGCACCTGGAAGGTGAATAATAAATGATAATTGGATCGATTTTTTTTTTGAAAAACTTAATATTTAATTCCAAAAAAAATGGTAAATATCATATTAATTTTTTTTTCTAGTTCAAAATCTTTGGCCATACGCATTATTAGCATGAATTTGCGCGGAATAAATTCCGAGGATCCATATTTTCGAACCTTACCTCAAGTCTACATGATATCGCACCAGGGCTCATTTTCGTCAACTTCCGAAGGAATCGAGAAAGTATTTCAATCCGCTCAAAATATTCAAGCAGCTAATGCCAATGAAAATTCGATT